CCAAGTTAGGATTGGCAGGCCCTTGGGTCACAGTGTTTTATTATACTTTTGTCATTCCGGGCCGACTTGGTTGGGGTTATGTCTTGTTTTTGTTTTTTTTTTCCTTTTAACTCATCTTACTTCTTTTATCACTTGTTTTTGCTGTCATTGTCTTGTTGAAGGCCAAATAAATAATAATAATAAATAATAAAAATATAATAATGCTTCTCTCAGTCCTTGGATTTTGTCTACATGTAACGTAGTCACGTTTTGTTTCCATTTTGCCTCCCTTCATATTTTAGTAGTAGCATTCTTTTAATATGTCATTATACTTGTGTCATTTATCCGCCAAGTAAACAATATTTACAATGATAATATGGACCCAGACCTTCTAGTAGTACAATTTAGCCAACATGGCTGGCACCTGCAAAATGTACATGTACACAAAATGTACATGTAATTTTTGGAATATTGGCTACCAGTATGTGGAGTACTGTATAAGCCCCAAGAAGCAAAAATCTGCAAATTAAGATTTTAAGTTGTCATATAAGCCAAACCGGGGAAAAAGCTGCACCGCAGTGCTGACTACTGTACCGGTATGTCTAACCACGTACATGTGTATGTATGTCACTGCACGCGCTGCACTGCTGAAGTGCTATTGGTCATGTTGGTAGTACCAGTACATGTACCGGGTACATATAGAGTATTACTTGTCGCACTTTGACATGTTTGCTGTTCACATGACTTTCTTCATATAGTGCTGCCCAACCTCTTTTTGGAAACACTTCAAATCCACTTTGTTAAATATTGGTACATTGTACATGTACTATTCTCTTCATGATAAAGGCTTTTGAACCTTTGTGATCAATTTCATTGATAAAATTAAGTCATGTAGTCAAGTACTTTTCGAGTACCAAGTTTTCTACCAAATATTTAACTACATGTAGTTAGCAGGGAACAAAGCTGAAGTACATCAGCATTTGATGGTACATGCATAAAGGTAAGGTTACAAAGCAACATAATGACTTCAGACCGTCACTGTTTGATTAAAATTAACTTTTTAGGACAAAAGTACTCGGAAAGTACTTGGCCGAGTACTTTCTGAGTACTTTTCTCCTTAAAACTTAAATTTTACACAACTGGGAGTGTCTGAAGTCTAACATTTATTTGTAATCTTACATGTACCTTTGCACATTTACCATCAAATGCCTGTGCACTCTGGCTTTATTTCCTCTTCCCCAGTTCAGTATTTTGCAGAGAACGTTGGTACTCGGAAAGTATTCGACCACAACACTGATAAAATTCCAGCAATCATTATTACCTCCACTCGCATGCCAAACTAAACAATGTTAAAAAAACAATTTTGCAATGTTGATAAATTCTAGGAAATCATTATTAAATCGTATTGAAATCTGTGCAAAGCCTTCAGCCCTTCCCAGTGCCCTGTTCAAGCAAACGCTCTTCATTGCAGTGGTTGCCGTTTCTATACTGGTACATGTACATTCGGAGGACTGGGACAGGAACCAGTCTTCATGTCAACAGACATGCGCCACAGTATGCAGCTCAGATGAACGTCCAAAAACCATCAAGCATGCATGTTAATGAGATATTATTTATAGCGTTTAATACAAACCCATAAAAATTGGCAGTTCCACACTACTGCCACTTCCGTTGCCAGTAACCCAACTCCAATACACTGACATGCTGCAACATGTACAAAACATATGGCCACACAGAGTTTCCGGTTGGCCTTATATGTTGGCACGGCTTTTCGGTGCCAAGTCAATTTGGCCGAATTCGATCAGTAAAATTCAGATTTAATTTTTGGAAATGTGATTGGGCAAATTCCTTCGAAAACAACATCATTAGAAAGAGCTTGTTTCCGGCTATTTTTGGCTTCAGTTGCATTGAAGATCAACAACATCTTCATGCCACAACTATCGAAGAAGTCACTAAAACTATCGGGTATCACACAGCTTTATTGAATTTTCATGCAACAATGTACTGTATATGGGTTCATTACAACTTTGGCTATGTATTTAATGTGTTTTGGGGGCTTTTTTCACAACCGTTTCTTCCAAAAATGCATTTTCCAAGAGCATGTTTGCAACTGCTCTCGCTGTTCGGTCTCAATGACCACGCACAATATAGCCCCACTTGTATGTACAACGCACGTTCACGAAGACTGGACATGTTGGCCATACACACGTGTGCATGCGTGCGCTTATACCGGTACATGTACATGGGGCCTAGTGGGGTACCAGAACAAAGGGAAGTACCCCACAAGGCCAGTTTTCACCTTGTGGGGTACCAAAACTGGTACCCCACAAGAATTTCATGAAACTGACATTTTGAAATAACTCAAAAAGCGGAAATTTTAGATGGGTAAAAATCCGTTGCAAATTGAAGTCTTTTATATAAGGGACATACGGTTGAAATTTCAACCCAGGAGAGTGAATGTGGCTTAAATTGGAGTAATTTGAAATTTTTTGCGTGTTGTGTGGGAGTTTTGTACATGAGAACAAAGGAAATACATGTACCCCACAGGTATACATGTAGCTGTGTAAGGATGAGTGTGGCTACATGTACATGTATGTCAAAACTTTGTGCTTTCGTAAGTCTTTGTGTAGGCCAACTTAATAATTACATGGATGTCATTTACATGCATGTACAGTACACTTACATGTTTTGTCATTAACAACCGATGGCTCCTTCATTCAAGTTTTCTTCATTATACGTTGAATATGAGAAACAAATACATTTCACGTCAAAAAATGTCGCTTGCGATGTGGTATTCTCAGTATTGTTCAGTCTCTCGCCTTGTTCGAGTGTACACATGGTACATGTACCTTTCTGGTTATGGGGGTTGAATGGGTTACTGTTTGCTTTGAATTATTTCTCTACATAATTCAAATAAACTGAAACAGAATCTTATACATGATAACTACAAATATTCAATCACCTTTGGCATGTTGATTTTGTTTTCAAATGTTATGATTCTGCTTTGTTTCGTCAGTAAAAATGTTTCACCAAACCTGTGATGGAGTGGAATGATCTGCACGTACCGTTGCAAGCCTGCGCTCCACTTTTTTGAGATCTCAGAGAAAAAAACATGTTTGTTAGATTTAGTTAACAATAGTTTTCTTGGTTTGTTTTTTAAAAAGAAGATTGTGGAATCCTTCCATAAAAATCATATCTGGAGAGGCTTACTCAGCATGACAAATGAGGATATGTACATACTGTACATGTATTTTGTCACAATTGTTTTGTGCACCATGACCATATTTCCTTTGCAGCAGAAATT